CTAGCATTACCTCTAGAGAATTCCGATTTTTCATTTGATCCGGCTTGATTGTAGGATGCAGGTATTATGCTTTTCAACTGAGACTTGAGTGAAGCAATTTCCCGCGCCATATCTTCAACTTGTTTGTCCATGGCTTGGCCCGTAGGTGCTTCCGCAATCATCTGATCTCTTCGTTGACTATTTCCTTTCTGCGCGTTTAGTTTGTTCTGCATTAGTTGATTGGCTTCGCCAAATCCCGAGATGTTAAAATATCCAGGTTCCACGATCCGCACTTCCAATCGTGATGCTTCGACCAAGTCTTCCCAGAGTGGAGGTAGATTGCTGCCGTCCAGTCCTTTCGGAAGTAAATTGTAACTGATTAAGGTGCGTTTGATATTCGCTTGACTTTTGCGGGAAAATGCACTCAGAAATAGTATTGCGGCGTCTGATTTCTGATGAATTTGTTTATTAGTTACTAGGTACTTGAGAATGGTGGTGAATTTTCCTAAGTAAGATTTGAATTCCCGATGATCCTTGATTCCGCCATTTACTCCGAATTCTTTGGCAACCTTAACTGTTGAATATGCTTATACTCAGTCTATGCTTCTACTACAGTTATGTTTCGGTATTGTATTTAGTCTGCCTGATCTCTGATCCCGGAGCTCTCTCCTCACTGAATACAAACCACATTTTCCTTAGTGTCAGCTCCCAGTGTCACAAGACCTCAGTCTGGTGATCTTCAGTCCTTGCGACCCCTGTGACACTCAACAGGTTATGACCCCATTGTCGCTCTAGCTCCAACCTCCTTTCAGTACAATAGGACTCAAGATTCTTTTATCCTTCCTGTCAACTGTTCAGAATCATCGCCGATCTCCCATCATCGATCATGCCGTACAGACTCACTCAGAACCCTTCTCCCTTGATCCCCTCAGTACCAACTCTTGACGGTAACTCGGTGATATTTCCTGCCTGGCGTTCTCGGCTCGAAGATGTTCTTGCTATTCAGGGGGTGCTAGATATTGTCGATGGAACAATCCCTCGTCCGAAGGCCGACTCCGAAACCAAGGCAGTTGTTCGCACCGAAAAAGGCTACAATCCTGAGGATTTCCGCTCCGATTGGGATACTCTCTCGGACATAGCTCGATCTACCATCAAGCTCACGCTGTCGGTCGATCTTTCCATCCGCTACCGAGATGTCAAGCCAGCGAGCAAGCTGTACCTTTTGATCTGTGAAGCGTACGAAAAGAACACCCGCGCTCGTCGTCTTCGACTTCAAGACTTGTTTTGGAATGCAAAACACGACCCAAATGCTCCGATTGCAAAGTGGATTGCAAAGATTCGCAATGCCGCTACCGACCTAGCCAGCGTGAAGCTCACCCCAAACGATCAACAGATTTGCGACCGTTTACTCAGGGGACTCGATGAGTCATGGAAAACAATTTGCGATCACTTGGTGTATTCTCCTTCCGAAGTCTCTCTTGACGACGCCATCGGCGCTTTAGAAGCCCACGAAGTATCAACCCAAGTTTCCAATGATCCTTTCGACCCCGCATCCTCGGTCTCAGCAGCTAAAACACAAAGAAAACTCGGCTGTTGGAACTGTGGTCAGAAGGGCCACCACTCTTCCAAGTGTTCCAACCCCTCAATCAAGAACAAAGCCGGTGCTCAAGCAAAATCAGCCACAACTCAAGCCGGTTCTGTCTCTTTCGCAACACTTGGCAACTACAATTCTGAAGCTGAAGACAACGACGACGACAGTTATGATGATGATGATTGCGACGTCGTTTGGGGCTAATCAGGGCTAGCTCCAGACATCTTTTTATTCGTGACAAACACAACTCCGGTGCAAGTCGACGGTCAATTCTTCGAATGCGTTTGATTTTTTGGATATTCATTCACTGTCGTGGTGTTTCCCTGTCCCTTACTACCTCAAGATCTCTGACCCGATTCTATTTAAGTTTTCTGTCCCCATTAGAGATTTTTTTTTTACCTCCTGCTAGAAAACATGAGTGGTAGATTTTTTTATCTCATTTAATTCACAAAACTGTAGTTTTCAGCAAGGGGGTGTGTTGAATATGCTTATACTCAGTCTATGCTTCTACTACAGTTATGTTTCGGTATTGTATTTAGTCTGCCTGATCTCTGATCCCGGAGCTCTCTCCTCACTGAATACAAACCACATTTTCCTTAGTGTCAGCTCCCAGTGTCACAAGACCTCAGTCTGGTGATCTTCAGTCCTTGCGACCCCTGTGACACTCAACATTAACCAGGTCGTTGCAGGTGTACAGGATTGTATTGTCCAATTCTCCCCAGGTTTCGACCATCTCCTTTCGTAATTTTCTCCATTCACATTTCTCAAACCCGTTCATGGCTTCTAGTTGAGTTTTAAGATCCTCCGTCTTCATGAATCGCCCGATTTGTAATGCTTTATCGTAGTCGCTTGCATTAAACGCCCTAGCCGCTCTCTCAAACCGCATCAAGAACTTTCCAAAGTTTTCGCCATCGTAAAAAAGTCCAGGTTCTTTGATAATTCTTGGTGCAACTTGAGGGATTGGTTGTTGATCTTCTTGTTCTTGATTCGCTGGTTGTTGTTGTTGTTTTCGATTATAAACTGTCTCTGCTGCATTTTGGGTGTTGTGAAGTCCATATCCAGACAGAGGAGGTAAGTTGTGTGCTTGAGGTGTAGGATCGCCTGCATCTGAGTCTTCCTCCGTTGTATCCCGCATTTCACTTGCTTTTCCCTTTCCTTTATCCTTCGGTGGTGGCAAAGTAGTGTCCGGATTCCAAGTGAAAGCTGATGATGATCCTGAAGGTCGGTCGAAAATTCGGTTCCTAAAAGGGGTTGACGGTGCAAACCCATCTTCCAAATCTGGTGTACTGTATGGTAGACTCATGTTGATTTTGATTGATGTTCCTAGTTTTCCTTACTTGACGCTCCTTCGATACCTAAACAAATGTTTGCTCTGAAAAAGAAACAAATAATACTATGGTCTCTGGTCTCTTTACCAGGGCAAGCTTATGGTTTTCTTAAAATAAATAAATCAGTTAACACTGGGAATTTCTTCTTTCACAGAATCTACTTATCCAAATCCTTCGGTGGTCTTCCTTCTTTTGGTCAATAAGCAGCTGCTTTCTTCAAATAGTTCCGGAGTTCTTTTCAAACAGTATCCTAGTTATCCAGATCCTTCGGTGGTCTTCCTTCTGCTGGTCAATAACTGGCTGCCTTCTTCAAGATACTCGTTTCAGTCGATGGGTTCACTTTCTTTTCAGAGGTTCGTTGTTTGTGTCGTTGGATTGTTTATTGAAGTTTGACTAGTTGATCAACAGAATAACTGAATATGCTGCTGAGTAGTCGCAAATTTGTTTGTTGAATTTGTTCCGTTTTCCGCTTAAAGTAACGATCCTCTGTCGATGTCTTCTTGATTATCTTCTTGTTTTCGATTAAAATTGGTCACACGATGTCAATCGGAAGTTTATCCTATCACGTTGGGGACTCCCTTGTAAGACTCAAAAGTGGTTATGAAAACCCTTTTGCTGAATGGAGAAGGGGATGATGGAGTTGCAAGCTCTGCCCTTCTATGCTATCAGAACAACAAGACCACCAAGCTTAGCTTGGCAGTTATATTTATAGTGATAGAGGATAGTTCAAGATGAAGCTTCCGAGTGATGTGTATAAGGTCTGAAGTTATAAATGAGTGATGATTATATTGATGAAGCTGTTGTTCAAAGCTTTAAAACCAAGGCTTGGAGCTCTGGGAGCGCTATGCTTCAACCAGTAATGGTATGTGAGGCAGGTTATGGGCACTTGGCACTTGTTATGATGATGAAAGTGTTATGATTGTATTTCAATATAATGTATTGTTATGGCTGTCACTTGTATATAATCTGTAAGGGTGGTTGAGATGATCTGGTCCACTGGTGGGATGATGGAGGGAACAACTGGCAGGCAGAGGCCTCCTTATATAGACAAATGTGAGGGATTTTAGCCACAGGGTACAGGCTTTTGAGGCATTTTAGCTGGCCTGAAGATCCAATGAGGGATTTTAGCTAGTCTAGTACATGCAGGTGAGGGAATTTGGCTGGTGAGAGCACTGCCTTGAGGGAATTTGGCTAGCCTACAAGGTCCTACTACAAAGGAATGCATGTGCATCTACAAAGGAATTCAATATGCACTATGTGCCAATAAAGGAATTCAATACAACACAAAGGAATTAAATATTCAATATGCATCCAGTATTCAAAACAAGCCATACTGAGAGTAAAGAATCCAAAAGACATCCCGTGACAGGTTGAAATCTGTGTAACTTCTAAACCATGAGAGATATGGGGTCAGTTGTAGTGGGTGACTAGGGGTTATTTTACCTGAGGATTCCATTTCTGATGTTATTTTTCCCCTATCTTGAATGTATAAAGAGATAATAAGAAATTTTTATATTTTTCTGTGTAGGAACACCGGAATAACTACCACACCGTGCCAGAAGATCAACAACGAGGACATTACTTATCCGACTGACTTCAATCAACTTCTCTGATTCTCAATCTCGTCAACCTATCCGATCGTGTTATCTAGCACGCCTAACCTCAACTTCTGCTCCTTTTTTTTCAAAATGCAACAAGGATCTCGTATTCCCCCCTCAATACCAACAACAAACGACTACGAACTACGTATCAGGTACTTAGAAGAGACTGTAGGCCTCTTGTTAGCCAAGAAGGAAAATCACTTGTTCCCCTCTGTCTCCTCAACTCCTCTGGGCGGCTTGTTCCGATACTCAATCGACCGAGGTCTTGTGCCATTACTATCCAAAACAACGGCCAAGTCTCTGGCAACCAACTGGCAAAGCAGATACCCTATCACGTCAAACATTCAACCTTGTTGACGGACCTTTGGAGCCGCTCGCGGGCCCCCAATCACGCAAACTTACCCAGGGATCACCCAGAGTTCATCTCTGGCTTCAGCCAAGTCGTTTGTCACCTGTGACTCATCTAGATACTCGGATAGACAATTTAGACAGGTGTTGAAGCCGACGAGATCATTGTTGCCCTTCATACCTTTGAAAGATCATCCATCCCAACCGCTCTCCTTAGATCGTTTGCCGTTCTCCGATTGCTCCCTATCATCTACCCAAGCCTCCAGAAACCCCCAGAGTTTGCGAGTGTTTCCCGAGCCTCCTTGCCTCACTCTACTGAAACCGCAGCGTTGTTGGCCAGCAGACCATCATCAAGAAACAACAACCACAACCACAACCTCATTCCAACAACAAGCAACTGCTCATCACCAATCAAACCAACTATTCAATCCTGTACAGACAACTTTGATATAGCTGCTGTAGGATCCCTGACTGTGATGGATGAAAATGCCTTGGCCACCCTGGAAAGACAAAATGATCCCCGCTACTGCCCAATTGAAGATTCAGAATTTGTACCGTTTGAAGACTGGTGATTGGAAACTCTCTTCATCCATACTAAACAATATCAATAAACCAACTTCAATTGTTTCATCCCAATCAATCCCTTCAACTTTTCCTCACCTTATTTTTTCTAAATTTTCAGTTTTTAACCATCCTGGTTGTTTTCAATTTCCACCCCTTATTCATTTTCTTTTATAGGAGGGGAGACTGTAAGCCCTGCTCCTCACAGGCTTACACAAAGGTGTCACATGATTATGTCAGCTCAATTATATTGTATTTAGTCTTGCCAATCGCCTTTACCTAGACAGCAGAGATCTTTCTCTCCTGTCTAGGTAAGTACCCTTTCTGCCTTCTGACTCTTTTCATTTTCCTTTTCTCACTTTCTCCACTTGTATATACTAACAGAGAGATCTTTCTCTCCTGTCTAGACTGAAATAAAACACACTTTGGTACTAGAATCCTTCCCTCAGGAGCTATTGAGCCCCTTGTCTAGTGCCATTTCCGACGGACAGTGAAGGACTCGACAGAGTCCTTACACACTCCCCAGAGTCAAAGTTCAGTTTGAACTGAGATGATGGGGAAGCATGGCACTCTGATCTGATCCAAGATAGACCCATCAATTCTGATTGATCTTTTCATTATTAATCCATCTGATCCTCATACACACCGATCCTCAAGCTCAACAACCGCCACAGAACTCCACTTCTGTTGTCTCCTCTCAGAAAACCAGCCAACCCCAACGCTTTTTTTGTTCAGATCACAGCTCATTCATCTGGACCCCACTTGAAGGCAGCCCTCAAAGCACTTTCCCTTCACCAACTGCCTACCGCCTG